GTCGATTTTTGTCGTTTAACCAAAATCTACCCGTGTAAATTGCAATTCAACCGTAAAATGTAAGCGTTTTGGCTAGTCGATATCTTAGTCAATTTTCCAATCGACAGAAATCGACCCGTGTAAAGGCAACTTCAGGAATTTAATAAATTTCTTTTTTTTTTTGCTTGGGCGTTATTTGAAGATGTGGGAAATTATATTGTCGCTTTAAATACAAAACAAAAATTTCTTTAAGCCATCTTGTGCAGCAATTTGTTGATATTATCCTCACGGCTACCGAAATCACCAACCTCAACGTAGTGATTAGCCTTCTTGCGCCGGCCTCGGGTTGATCGTGTTGAGCTTGAATAGTAACAGGAAGTTGGAGGCTTTCTTGAAGTGGGTTCCAACAGTGAATATTTCGTGCGCCAAATAATCAACGCACTGAATTTCGTGGGCTACGCGAAATTTGCGTTCGATCACGAAGCAGAGATTGGGACACGTTGATGGTTGTGCTTAACAATTCCACGTTTGTACATCAATTCACGAACTGATTTAAGATTTGGATAACCCCATATAGGGTTCGGCATACGTAGCATATTAATGGTTGCCTTGCTCAATTTGATGAACACACCGTTTTAATGTGGCGAAGACGGAACTGTAAAACTTTACGCACTTTTTGTGCAACTTTGTTGATACCGCGGATACGGATCACAAAAGCCAATTTGGATTTTTCAGGCCAACTCCATCTCACGGCGTCCATCACGGAGTTTTCTTGTTTGATATTTCTCAGCATGCACCTAGTTTTCACGTTTACGGAGTGCAATCACAGCAGAGCGCTTTAGTTGACGTTTGATCAGGGTAGCAATTTGCTGACCTGCTCTTGCTGAACTGCAGCTTCGACTCGGGGACAGGAGGCAGCTTCCAGGAAGGTTGTCTGCCCTTTGCTTGCGGTTTCTTACCGGCCGTGATGGCAGTCATCTTAACTTGTTACTTAGCACGTTGAAAAGGCGAAAAAAAGTTCGCCAAATGTTTGGAGAACATCGTAAATGAGCTACTCGATTTATAACACTTCTATAAACAATTTGGCATAAATGCAGTTGGGCTCCAAATCTCAAATAAAAAATAAAAAATATTGGAATCGATAGAGATGATTGAGCTGAGTATAACGATATACTTCTTTTTTCGGGCAAACAACAACAACAAGAATTATCAAAGGTTAAAGATTTCTTAAAACCGGATGAATGGATCTTGAAAATTTTGATCTCATTTAATAGCAAATTTGATTCCCTTTAATTTGCTATACGTACCCCACAGGTTGGAAGACTGTTGCTAATAACAAGCGCTTGAAGCTGAAACAACCGCTACTTATCGGAGCTAACAACAGTAATGAATTAAGTGTCATCCCTAACCAGAAGTGGCTACATTTATCCTCATTTTCGCCCACAGTCACCGCAGCTGAAATTATCAGTTATGTTGCTAAACATGCTTGTGTAGACGCTAAATTTCTTACTTGCTATATGTTAGTAAAGAAGGGTACTAACTTGAATGAGCTCAAAAAAGTAAGCTTCAAACTAGGCGTTTCTGAGTGCAGCTATGAGAAAGTGATAAATAATGAAAATATATGGCCTGCAAATGTTAAAATACGAC